TATTTATTTTTTTTTTTTGTTTTTTTTTTTGTCTATTATAAAAAGAATTTAGGGATTTTCTTAAACATAAAATTTGTTTTCAATTGTTAGGCGAGTGAATGTTTGAAAGGGGGAACAGTTGATAACTGAAACACTTTTTTATACGATGATACGATGATACGATGAACAATAACGATATAAAGCGAGTTTTAAAAGTAGGCTTAACGAGACACGCAAAGCAAGTTAACAGCCGAGCAAAGCAGCAAATAGCCCAAAAGCCGTCACTCACATTAATAAAGCAAAAGCAAGTGAAATACTAAAAAAAAAATACTAAACGAATAACGATCCAACAATTGTATTCAGATGAAACTCTAAGCAGCACGCCAGAAAGTGAAGAATTTAAAAAATTTAAACCTTAATTATAAAGAAGAAAAATATCAGTTTTAACAAAAAGAACAAAAATTGGGGGTTTATTTTGTTTCAAATGGTTTTTGTTAACAGAATAGAATGAAAAAATTTGGACGCAAAACTCAAGTCAGCAGCAGCAAATACAACGGAATGAATTGGAAATGAAACAGTAAAAAAAAGAAAGAAAAAGAAGCAGAAGAAGAAGAAGGAGAAAGAACGTACATAACTGGACAAGGTCAAAGTTAGAACAGGTTAGAACAGTACCAAACCGAACCGAACCGAACAGAACCGTTATTAACTACTCGGATACGACACAACTGTACTAAAATGCACACAAACTGAAATATTGAAACGTATGGCATGAAACATGCACATAAACAACCGTTGCCACACATGCAACAACAACAACAACAACAACAAACGACAACAACAGCAAGAACAACAATATGACTATTCAAACTATTAAAAATGAAATGAAATGCAAGTGAAATAACTATTAAATACTATTATACATATATATATTTTTAGCATATAAGAGCATACACAAGCGAAACGTTTAAAAAAAAAAACATACGAGAAAAATATACCCTACATAACTGAAAACCAATTTTGTCAGCCGTAAGCTTTTACATGTACTAAAAAAAAAATTTAATGAAATATGGCAAAGAAAAAAACTAAAAAAAAAAAACCCAAAAAAAAAAACAATTCACATGCATACTATATATGGATATGATTATATATTGTACACACGTATATATACACACATATATGAAGCGAGCCCCAAGCTAAAATCTCTAAAAAAAAAAACTTAAAAAAAAATTGATTGTATTCAAAAAAAAAGAAACCCAATCGAAACCGAAAAAAAAAAACAAATAATTTGGCATGCTTTTTTTTTTAATTTTTTGTGTAACTTCCATTTAAACAATTGGCTCTAAAATAGGCTTATAAAATATTTAGCAACAGCGCAGCACCAAACTCTAGAGTGCATCGAAACAAAAGTTAACGACAAGAAAAATAAAACAAAACAAAAAAATGGAGGAAAATCGTCGGAAAAGAGAAGATTATTATTTAAATTTTTGTGTTTCGCTTAAATTTCCCTTTGTATATTTCGCATTTTTGAACACATTTCTATATAATGTATTTATATTGTGTTTTACTATTAAATTTTTGATTTATTTTTTTTTACTTGTAATAAATTCATGCGGTAATCAACTGGAGACTGAGCTACAACATATATTTAGTTACCGTTATGTTTATTGCATTTAAAAGAAGAAGAAATAAACTATAAATAAATGGCGATTGGCCAAAATACCCCGCATACACACACACACACACTCACACACTCACACACCAGATCACACACACACACACACAAAACCTACATGTGAAGCATACAATTTATATACTTGCATATATATATATATAAAAAAAAAAACATACAATATGATAATTATATATATTTATATAAATGTGTATATATATCCACAATTTTCATAAAATAATTACAAATTAATTGGTTTGTTCTATTCGTCTATATATAAATATATATATATATATATATATATATATATATATTATTTTTTTGTGTTTAATGCAAATTCATTTACTAACTACGCCATTTTGTTGTGCATTTCATCCCATCCCCAAAAATAAATACAAAAAAAAGAGAAGAAGAAAAAAATAAGAAACAAATCCTGCGAACGGTTTGCCTGTGTGATAGTAGTTTATAATTAAAGCCGTTCGCTGGATCTTCGACCCATACATAAACCCACACATTATATAGCATTTAAATGGCGAGATATGTGGAGAACCGTAAATACATAATTGCACATAATATAATTATATATATACATATATACATATATATATATATATATATATGAAAATATAATAAAAAATACAAATAACTTGAGGAGAAAAAGAAAAAAACACAAAAACATAAAAATAATAACACTACAATATTTTTATTTTTACTTTAATTATTTTTAAAGTACCTATCTATAGTTTAACGTTTTTTTTTCGTCGTCTACATATTATTTGTTAAGTTCATTAATCTACATAAATAATCTACACTAATGTAGACGACATAATGTATCTACATTGTACATTGTATCTACATTATAGAGCTAAATATCTATAAATATTTTAAATATAACAAAACAAACAACAACAAAAAAACAGTAAAATATTATTAAAAAAAACCAAAAAAAAAAAACAGCTCCCAACCTTTTTATTTTCATTCATATTGTTAACATTTTCTTTAGTTGTGGTTCAGGTTTTGGGTTTTTCTTGGTTTTGATTTGAATTTCGTTTAACGTTTCCAGTTTGTTTCTGTCTCGAAGTTTTCCGGCGTGTTCCATTCCGTTCGTTTCGTTTTCAGCTCGTCGAACAACCGACCGACCGACCTACAAAAAAACAATGATGCCAACAAAATGTGTGCTAAGGGCCAAACGCTTTCAATATGATGCATATATATGTACATATGTATGCATGTCTGTACCCGTATGTATCTGATTATATGTATGTACTGCTGTTCCACAAAACCCAACCCAAATTCAAATCCTCTACCTAAAGCGAACTTGTCTAAAATATTATGAATTTAATACATGTGTAGTATGTGTATCTGCAAAGGCAAAAACTTAAAATTAAACAAAAAAAAAACAAACGCAAAATACAAACACACAACCAAACGAAAACAAAACTAAACAAAAACAAAAAAATAAAAACTAAATGCGTGTAAGTACATTTATATAGACATTTATACGATACATACTATACTAACTAAACTACAAAAAAAAAAAAACGAAAATTAAAAACTACAAAATACAAAAAAAAAAAAGAAAGAAAGAAAAAAAATTAAATGAATAAACTACCTCAGCTTTGAATATTTCTATAGAAATGTTATTAAATGTATTTGAATGGCGAAAATGAAAAACAAAACCGTAAAGGCATACAAGTTTTAGAGCTGCATTTATATACATACATACTAGTAACAATACTATTTATACTAAGTGTACGTTTTGCATATTCCTATATAGCTAAATAAACATAATGGCAAAATGGGTCACTAAACAAAAACAAAATTCATGTATGAAGGAAATCAAGGAAAACCAACAAGGAATTCATATAGTATACATATACATACATATATATTGAAATTGAAATTGAAAAAAACAAAAAACAAATAACAATAATTTTGCGTCCATTTTTGTTGTTTCCTATACAAAGAAAAATTCTATAAATGAAAAGAAAAAAAAAACAAAAACAAAAACAAAAACAAATCATATTTAATTACATATATAATTGTTTTAATTGTGAACGTAACCAAACTGCAAGTAAGGCCAGATCAAATGTTTTATGAATGGCATACATATACATACATACATACATACATAGCTACGTCTCTATTACTAACATACATATATCCACTCAATTGATGTTTGCAACTGTCATTTAAACCAAACGAAAACTAATAGGCAACATAAACAAAAACACGCAAAAAATAATCATAATACAAATAATGAGCGAAAAACATAAAAGACAAAAAAAAAACACTTAATCCATAAGAAAAAGCTTTCTCGGTGTCAGTTGTGTCATAGTTTAGATTCAAAGCAAACTAAATATTAACAAATATTAACATAATGAAAATAATCGTTTATTTGCAAGACTTGCACGAATGTGCAAATCTGTGTGTGTCCAAGAAACATTTTCTGACCAGTCCCAAAGGTCTGCCTCTGCTTATAGTTATGACAACAACAAAAGAAGTGTACATTTCTGTATATTTCGTCAACTAGACATTTTTCCCTTTTCGGTGTGTAATTGATTGTTGAACACGTAACACAAAATGTGTAAATCCAAAAACAAAAATTTAACCTAACTACCTATGTACATACCTACATACATATATAAATTGAAGCATATGAATAAACAAAAAATGTACACCCACGATTACACTACATCCCAACATCAATCTAAAAGCAAACCCTGCTAAAATATTGAAAAAAAAAAAATATAAACATAAAGTAAAATTTTTGTGAACATGTGAAAAAAAAAAACCAAAAAACGAAAAGAAATTTACTCAATAAATGAATTTTTCGTATACACATCCCCAAATTCATTTTCAAACATGGTGCCATCTAAGGCCAAATTATCGAATAGTTATCGGTTATCAATGAATATTCACATTGACTATTCACATTGGCTAGAGTATGCGACACATTGCGACACCTTGCAACACTACCATGCTTGCCTCACACATTTAAATGCACCAATAATTTAATGGTGACACATATGAAGGTTGGCAATTTCGAAATGACCGAATTTTATTCAGCCCTGGACCGTCACTAATTCAAATAAGTTGGCATGCTTGCGCATGGGCTAAACTATCGCGAACTTTTCAGTTCGATAGCTCTTTGTGCTGTGTAGCCAACATATTGCGATATTCGCTCACCCTGTGCAGTAGGAAAGAAATTCTTATCGATTATCGGATCCATCGATGACCACATTAATCGTCCCAAAGAAAAAGCATAAAAGCATAAATGTATTTACAGTTAACAAACAGAAACAACTATAACAGCAGCATAAGGTGTAGCGCCTTCAATTTAGCGCAACCAGAAGTGCCAATAACAACAACAGCAATCTGTAAGCTGAAATAATTAAAGAATTCACTTCGATTTTAATTGCGCGCGCTATAAACCTTATGAGCCAATGCATTCATCATTAAATGCAGAAGGAAGCGTCGCGGTCTGTCGGCTTAAAAGCATGTGCGCGTGTGTGTGTTGTGTGTGTTGTGTGTGGTGTATGTGCTTGGCTGTGCGTGTGTGTGTAATACATAACAAAAATTGCCATACTAACACTGCCATAACGACGCTTAACAAATTGAATTAGAAGCTTTGCAGTGTCAACAATTCTGACGTACTTAGGACTGAGAATATGTCCAGCTTTCTCTGTCTAATCCCCATTAAAAAACAGTACGAACAACACATCTAGGCTCGTCCCGCCCGCTGTCTATTGGGCTATTTATAGACTGATTAGTATGTTCTGCTTTAGAAATTAATTGAAATTGGGGTGGCTGCTAGTTGGGGGCGGACGTTGCCGGGCGAGTCGGCATCAACAGCCAAAAGGCATTACATCTGCCAAAAGCTATATAATGTAAGTGCGTGTGTGTGTGTGTGTGTGTTTCTATGCATAATTCATAATGAGCATGTCGAACTACAGAAAACAACTGTTGCCCCGTCGTTGTTGCTGTTCCGAAATGAGAAAGGGGGTGAGCGAGAGAGAGAGAGGTGGGGCAGTGGGTGGTCACCTACCTAACAACATTCAAGCTGTAACAGCGGGCGGCGCTGTCACTGGCACAGGCTGACCTTGGAGCAAGTGGCGACTTTGTGTGTCTCGTTTATATAAATGTCCATCAATGTATTAAAAAAAAATCTCTAGTCGATACAGGGCTTCCGTTGCGCCGCCGAGCGATTGGACTTTGAGCCATTATTAAGTGCCAGAGCGTGTCGTGTCTCTCTAGCTGACTTGATAAGACGACGACGACGAAGTTGATTGAATGAAATGCATAATATATACAATGTACATAGGACCAGTGAAATGCACAAATGCACATAACCTTAAGCGAACAATAGTTTGGCGGGCTTAAATGATGCCTTTCAAATGGGGCAAGTTGGTGTCAATACCCTATGCTTCGATTATGTTATTATTGTTGTTATTGGGATAGAAATTCCAAAGTCCTAATTAAACCATTCATAAACATATTTAAAATATTTAAATACCTTTGCCTATTTTAATTCGACTTTATCTTAAATCGCCCTTTATAAAAGAAAGACTTCGTTTGGTGTATGCATATGCTGGTAAACCATAAATACCAGAGTTACGAATATATAATAAGCTTAAGTCTTTTACTAATTCGAACAACCGCAAGTTCAACTAAATATGATCCGTTCGAACAGATCAAAGTCATTCGCATTTGTACCGTCCACTTGTACACAAATCAATTAGCCAAGAATATACCTATCATTCGCATTCTGTGCAGCTAATCCGCAATCAACTCGACACCGTCGCTTGCTTGTCGCGACATGTTTGATAAGGCGGGCAATGAAAAACAATCAAGCTATAAACATAACATAACAATGCAACACGCTATCACTGGGCTATCATAAACGGGATTGGGTTTGGCTTCTTTATCAGCGTCTACTGTCAATCACTCGAGCTATTATATTAATCAATTTATCAATGTATGTATATCATATATGCAACAAGTTATATTTAATAATAATCGCGGTACCAACTGGTGATACCCATTCACAGAGTAGCGAGCGGGGGCCAGCTGAAGAGCGAAGTGTGGGAGCGGACGATGAACAATCTCGTGCAGGATATACAAAACAAATACTCATTTCTGGACAATCTATTCAGTCACGTATGGAAATGCATTATTCGATCGAATTTAAAGCTAAAGCTACAATTGCGCAGTATTCAATGGAAGAATGCAAAAGCCAAGCCCGGCTGTGCCTACCAGCCGACAGAGGTAAGTAATATCATATACGCACATATTATTATATATAGTTATTATAATCAACTCTTTTTTATGAAGATCGAGCAGGTGGCTAACGTTATAACTCATGGTATTTGGATAGTACCCGCCGTGTTTGCAGTCATAAAGCTCTTCGAGCGCTCGAACAGCTCTAGCCAGTATCTGGTGTCCTGGGTCTATGGAACCACGCTCTGCATGCTGTTCACAGTTTCCACATTTTTTCACTGTTCTTGTTACTGTGCCGAACACAAGTGAGTCTATAAAATGTACTTCCATATGCTTGCTGCAGCGTTATCTCTTTTAGGCCCCCCAAAAACTATGATGCTTGGCCCGCGTTTGGCTGGAAAACGTATCAGAGTCTCAAAAATGTTTTGCATCGATGCGATCGTGCCATGATTTATGTTTTTATTGCCGGCTCATATTTTCCCTGGCTGACGCTAGAGAATACCGACCAATCGGCCATACTGTTTTGCATGGAATGGATTATTTGGCTAATGGCGGCCGTTGGGATTGCTTATCAACAGGTAAGTTTGTTGCTGTGCGTGTGCATATCCCAGTCCTCGACATTTTACTTAATTACAGCTTTACCACGAACGCTACAAATGCCTGGAGACATTCTTTTATATTGTAATGGGTCTGGGACCAGCGCTAGTTGTAATGCTTACCGGACATCATTTTAATGGCATGATGCAGCTCAAATTTGGCGGTGCCTTCTATATATTGGGCATTATCTTTTTTAAGTCAGATGGTTTGATTCCCATGGCGCACGCCATTTGGCATCTCTTTGTGGTGCTCGCCGCCGGCTGTCATTATTATGCGATTTTAGTAAACCTGTATCCAAATGACTCCAATAATTTACAAACTAGTAGCTAAGTATAGCCGAAGTCGACGTGAAGCTTATGGCTGTAAGAACATTATCGTTTAACGTACTTAACTGAGCCACGGATTCATCAATAGATAATTGTGACCCACAGAATTTTAAGTTAGTGATTTTATTTTTATTGTATAATTTTGAGCCAGCCAGAATGTATTCCTTCCTACCTACCACCCATATATATCACTGCTCCAAAATTAGCCAAATTTTGTACAAAGTATATAGATTTATTTAGTTTTATGCTTTACTTATGTTCATCAAACGGATTTATGTACCATAGTTGTAGTTGTAGAATATTAGACAATTTGTTAGAATAAGGCAACGGATTCTTAAGATAATCGATAAAAGAAAACGTTTATTGTGATCAATATCTGCGATCTTGCCAACGAATCAAACAAAGGTATGAACTCTCAATTCGTGTGCAAATGATCATGGTAATTGCGGTGTATAGTGCGATCCTTGTTTTAGGTAGACCAAGCAGGTATATACATATATATATATTTTGTGTAACTAATATAGAATATTTTATAATACACTTATAATACGATACGCTATACTAACGTATGACAAGCTCACATTAGGCCATGTGTTTCTTAAAGACTAACAAATTGTACAAAATCTAATAGTAGAGCATGTCGATTAAATTCAACGCCTTTCAAAATACTGGAAGCCCGCCTAAAACAACATATACACATATAGGTATATAAATATGTATGTAAACATATATATGATTAGTTATAAAACAAAAGCTAATCACGAACCAATTTTTGATGTGTTGGTGTTGGTCTGTTATTTAGCGTGTTATGTGTGCTATTGCTCAGGGATTACTTACTTGGTGCGGTCAATCGTGATGTATAATGTATTATGTACTTGTTAGCAATGGATTGGTTCGTGATTAATGCACTTAACTTGTATACAATTGTTTTTGGAAGCTTTGCGAATTTCGAAATAGATTATACAATGAATTATTGCTAACCAGAATTTATACCATATAAGAGTATGAAATGAATTATACATTCATAAAATTACTTAAAAACATATACTATCTATACAAATGCTATATATATACATATATGTAAATAAATGAATACCTATGAATCTATACAATAAATAATATATACCGGGTACTCAGGTCTATTAACTTTTAAAAACTATTTTACCTTATACAACTATTAATTCTGCCAATAATTATGTTGTGAAAAATAAGGTACACTTTCGAAAAGTGCGCCACATGCGAGAATAAATTCGCAGTGCTGTAAAGTGCGCAATGCTAAAAGCCTGCGATCGCCGATATTATCGGAGCGCTACTATCGATAAGAAAAAAGAGTATTGGAATTGGCCGGCATCACTAACCATACAATGCATAGACTTGTCAAATGTTAAAATAATCGGATACCGATAAATCGTCAACGACTGAGCCCCATGGGTGACCGCGACCATTTTAGTGTGCCCAGACAAAGTAAGACTGCTGAGAGTGGCAGCCGAACGCCGGCCTCTGGCTTCCGAACGTTCAGTATGAAGCCGCATCCCGCTGAGCGCACAACGTTGCTGCGGCTGATGCTGTTTTGTAATATATGTATCTTTTCAGCCCAAATACATACATATGTGTATATGCGTGTGCAGAGTGCCCCTCGCTCACACTTATTGCTTTGCGCACTTGTGTGCATCTCCTTCTCCCTGCATAGCTTCTCAAAAACCCCGAGATCTACAAACATACATACATATGTTTGTGTTGTTTGGGTGTGCGCACAAGTAGATCGCGGCGTTTGTCGCGAGCCAGAGATTTTTTCTTCAATTGTGTGCCCTTTGTGCCTGTGGTGGCAAAAGGCACACACATTCAAATGCTCTATCATGTATTTCTTCGTCCAGTCAGGCATAATGTGAAGAATCTGATATATTTATATTTATTAAAAACTTAAATGACCTAAATAATATATTTATATATTATATTTTAATTTTTTTGTTTACTGTCGGGACCAATTTTGCTTAAATTTAAAAAAAAAACTAAGTCGTATTTCTGCAAGGGTAATTCATCGTCGGCTTGTCGAATAATTTAAGAAAAGACCAAACATTGAAAATGTTCAAATTTTTCGACTTGCTACTTGTGCACACGCACACTCTTTCGAGTAAGCAGTTGGGTGACATTATTAAAGGGTTTGGCCTGTTCATGTGCAAAACTCCTATTTTCCATGCTTGTTGTAAGGGTAAGGGTACCTGAACGTTGGCATGTGTGCATAATAACTTTTTGGGCCTGCCAAGCACACATACTTACACACTTTTCTATATGGATGGAAGCATTTATGCGTTTGTGTGCGTGTTGGTTGCCTGCCTGCCTGCCCGATGCAAATTTGACCAAATTTGAAGTTTTTGGCATTTCTGAATTTCGAGCTCTACACACACACACAAATGTGTGCGAATGAGCCGATCAAGGGTTTGTCGTGAGACAGAGATATTTTCATCAATGGGTGCGTAAATTTGGGCGACGGTGGGCTTGCGGCCGCGTAAGGCCCACATGTGTGAACAGGCAACGAAAACAGGTGAACCGCACTTGCCGCTCGTTTGCACTTTGATATGGAAAAAATGCAAGTGATCTTTTTATTTATTTTTTGACATAGTAAACATTTTGGGTTAAAGGGTGTTATGGCAGGCAATAAACGATCAGAATGTCCAGCATGCGTCTGCATCCATTTGTCCATTTGTTCACACATTTGTGCCTTACGCGGCCGCAAGCCCACCGTCGCCCAAATTTACGCACCCATTGATGAAAATATCTCTGTCTCACGACAAACCCTTGATCGGCTCATTCGCACACATTTGTGTGTGTGTGTAGAGCTCGAAATTCAGAAATGCCAAAAACTTCAAATTTGGTCAAATTTGCATCGGGCAGGCAGGCAGGCAACCAACACGCACACAAACGCATAAATGCTTCCATCCATATAGAAAAGTGTGTAAGTATGTGTGCTTGGCAGGCCCAAAAAGTTATTATGCACACATGCCAACGTTCAGGTACCCTTACCCTTACAACAAGCATGGAAAATAGGAGTTTTGCACATGAACAGGCCAAACCCTTTAATAATGTCACCCAACTGCTTACTCGAAAGAGTGTGCGTGTGCACAAGTAGCAAGTCGAAAAATTTGAACATTTTCAATGTTTGGTCTTTTCTTAAATTATTCGACAAGCCGACGATGAATTACCCTTGCAGAAATACGACTTAGTTTTTTTTTTAAATTTAAGCAAAATTGGTCCCGACAGTAAACAAAAAAATTAAAATATAATATATAAATATATTATTTAGGTCATTTAAGTTTTTAATAAATATAAATATATCAGATTCTTCACATTATGCCTGACTGGACGAAGAAATACATGATAGAGCATTTGAATGTGTGTGCCTTTTGCCACCACAGGCACAAAGGGCACACAATTGAAGAAAAAATCTCTGGCTCGCGACAAACGCCGCGATCTACTTGTGCGCACACCCAAACAACACAAACATATGTATGTATGTTTGTAGATCTCGGGGTTTTTGAGAAGCTATGCAGGGAGAAGGAGATGCACACAAGTGCGCAAAGCAATAAGTGTGAGCGAGGGGCACTCTGCACACGCATATACACATATGTATGTATTTGGGCTGAAAAGATACATATATTACAAAACAGCATCAGCCGCAGCAACGTTGTGCGCTCAGCGGGATGCGGCTTCATACTGAACGTTCGGCTGCAGAGGCCGGCGTTCGGCTGCCACTCTCAGCAGTCTTACTTTGTCTGGGCACACTAAAATGGTCGCGGTCACCCATGGGGCTCAGTCGTTGACGATTTATCGGTATCCGATTATTTTAACATTTGACAAGTCTATGCATTGTATGGTTAGTGCCGGCATGTAATATCTTGATTAATTATTTCCGATTTAATAAGTAAACTAAATGATTTTCATATGATTAGGTATAAATTTTAAAATATAGTTTAAAGGGCGCAAAAAAAGTAATTGCTTGCCAAATGTAATACATCACTAACATTAGATTTTAACAAACTTCAATTTGAACAGAGTTTTGAGAGAAGAAAAACTGTGTTCTGCAGGGATAGATTTAACAAACATTTTTAATTCAGCTCATAGCCAATGCAAATTGTGCCAAAAACGTACATTGGTAAAACAGAAAAACTGGCTCCCACAATCGATATATCGATATGTTATTACCACTCTTGGAAGCAAATGAACAGTTTTATTTAATGGACAAGGAGAGGAAAGCATATGATGTGCTTTTACAAACAATAAACAGTCGAGTGCGCTGCTCTACTTCGGCGGAGCAAGGACTTTACCAGCGCCAACTGCAGTTCCTGCGCGACATTGAAATACAGACGCCTGCAGGACCATATGGCGCTAACACGGCGGCCCAGCTTGCACGTCTGCTGACAGAGGAGGCGCTGGTGAGTGGTGGGCTTGGCGATGACTCATTGAACCTGAGCGCATGGCTGCTCTGGCTAAACGAGCTGCTCTTGACCCGAAAACAGCAGCTTGGCGAGACGCAGCCGATGCTCGAGTGGCTCTTGCAGCGTGTGGAACACAAATGCGCGGTTGATGCGCTGCGCTGCCTGCTCTTGCTGCTGGAGTCGCTGCCGGTGGGTACAGCGCCCACGTACTTTTCGCGCTTGGTAGCTATTCAGACGCCGTCTAGCGTGGAGGCAGCGCTGCTGTTGGTGCTGTGCCAGGATAAGCTGTTCAGCACGTTGTGTAACCCAAATGCGGAACTGCAGGTGCAGGAATTGCAGCAGAGCAGCCAGTTGGCTAACTCATTGCTGCAAATGCACTACGATGGCCGCTGGACAAGGATGACAGCCGCCGAAACGCAACAGCAGCAGGAGCAGCTAACGATGCTGATGGCCCAATCGCTGCAGCTGCTGCAAAAGATATCGGCGCAGCATGCAGACTATGCACAGCAGCATGCGCCGGAGCTGCTCGGACTTGCTCTAGCGAATGTGCGATGCAGATACGAGGGAGAAACGGTGAAGGCAATATACCAATTGCCACATCGCGTGCATCCCGCCCAACAATCAGCAGTCTATGGGCCGGACGATGAGGATTTGTCAACTGGCAGCAATCAAAACACAGCTGCAGCCGGTAGACGTGTCAAGTCCCGCAAGATGCGCTCACTGACCAAGCAGCGAAACAATGGCAATATACAGGAAAGCCCTGGCACAATTGGCCACGGGGATCGGATGCATCTGCTGCTGCTGGGCAACAACGACTACGGCTGTCGAACACCGAGCGGTGGTGACTCTGAGGGCGGTTGCACTCCCACCTCGGACGGTGCTGGGCAACAGTTGGCGGGACAGAAGCAGCAGCGCCAATGCCAAGTTAAGGTACGCGTCGCAGCCCTTCAACTGTTGGGCGCAGTCACCAAACAGCTACCTCGGCGCACTCTCTATGGCTACTGGCATGTGCTTTTCCCCAGCGGAAGCGGCGGTGCTGCTGCTGGCAGGCGCGAGACAAAGGATCATTTGCTGTATATTGGTGCCAATGATGGCAATGGGCGTTGCCGCGCCCTGGCGCTCCAGTTAGCTGCTCAGCTGCTGTACGGCTCCAAGCCGTATCTAAGCCAGGCGAGCTGCGCTTTGGCGCCAAGCAACTACACACCATTTGCAATGAGCCTGGCCAGCAGTGTGCT